TATTTTGAGCTCCTATTGTCCCTTTTACGGCACCAGAGTTGTGTAATCTGTCCCTCTTCCAGGCCAGGCCGTTCCCGCTCCAGCCGGAGCCCCACCTGCAGGCCAGCCGGATTATAGCGCCGCCTGGGCTGAATACTATAGACAGCAGGCGGCCTATTATGCCCAGACAAGTCCACAAGGAATGCCGCAACACCCTCCAGCACCACAGGTATAACAATCTTGAATAACATGGGTGAGATTGGTTTTTTACTTAGTTTGTGGGCTTTTTCCTTTTTTTGCATGTCTCCCACTTTGATATCTTTCTGGAGTATGCATTATTTTTCCTGGCAATGAGTAACTAGTCAATGAATTCATGCTCTGTTAACTAGAGTTCTGTCTTTCCTTTGCATACGCTCAGTGCTTTTGATCTCAAAATTTCTCCCCCCAGGGTTTTTGAAAAGCCATGCAGGAAGCCACCACCATTACATTAACAACATTTTCTTTCTTAAAGGCTTCACTCCTGAGTTAGCGCAATGTAATAAAGATTTTCTTTAACTTTTTGTGTATCTCTTATGTATTTCTTCGCACAGGGCCAATAATAAGAAGTGGACAATACAGTATTTGCTTCATTATGTGGGGGAAAAAACCTTTGTTAAATGTATGGATGCAGACGCCTTGATGAAGATCATAATTTTTGTTTGGTTAAAAAAATAGTGTTTTTTGAAAATGTACAAAATATCTATCACTTCTGATAGGAGGTAATATTTCTGTGTAGAAATGGAAATTGGTTTGTTTTTAGTACATTAGTGTAGATGTACACATTCCAGCAAATGTATTTGCAACTATTATGTGGTCAATGCTTTGTGATATAAATGTACTTTTTCAATGTATACTTGATCACTTTTAAATGCCTGTTTTGTGCTTTACAATAAATAATATGAAACCTCCTGTGTCGGTAAGTTGGATATGTGGATACTTTTGAGAATGCAAGGATTTGTTATAGAAATGCTGTACATGTACACAAATAAGACTTTTTTCCCCCCTTGGAAGTTTGGGCTTGACATCGATATTCTCCCCTTGCAGAATTAGTTTTATGCCAGGATCTCTTTTGTTATTGTATTTTCTGTTTAGCATCTTGGTCTTCTCTTCTTTCTTCTCAATTAAAAATTGCATGTATGTGAAGGTGTTTCTTGACATACTTTACTGCATTAACAGTTGCAATTTCTTTTATTATTATTATTCATGACCACTGTCTCAGACCCATACAACTGCTATATAGTTAACATTTGTTTTTATACGTGATTTCATTCTTAAAGTATATTTTTCAGGCACGTTACTACACTCAGATACTGTAGAAGGCAAAGGGTGCATAAGCAGTCAGTTTGTGGCACTTTGCTTCCAAATTCAGTGTAGTAAGGATGACATGTTTTATAGTTACCAGAACTGCATTTGTCTTAGGGACTTATTTTGCAGATGAGATCTTTTTTTAAATGCTGAAAACTAGTCAATAAGTGATATTTTGCAACAACAACAAAATCTCCGTACAATATTTGCCTTCTCTTAATCCATACTGAAAGTTCTGATCAATTCCACTGTTTGCTTTTCTGCATATCTTAGATTCCATGCAATACAGTCTGTCTTGCCATTGTCTGTTGAAGTGCAGGTTTGATCCAGCCAGTATAGAGCTAGCTCTGTAGGGGTGAGGAGGACTGTGCTGTGTATCATCCTTGATTGTTCCTTCAAGGAGCATTGCACTGTAAGTACATCAGAAATGACAAAATGATGAACTGCAACAGTATCTTTTTGTCAGTGTTCCACATAATGCCAATGCCATAACCTGTGTGAAATATTATGTTGGAATAAAATACAGTGCTCATATCTTAGAAAATCTTTAATTGCTTCTTAATTCAGAAACCTAGATATGCATAAAATATTTGTTTGTATAAGCTTTATGGGTAAGTATTCTTGAGACATTTAGCTTTAGCTAAAGAAATTGTCATTTGCCTAAGCAACGTTATTCATTAGGGTTTCAGAAATGAGATACTCAGAGAACAAAATTTTGTGCATTGTGAAAAGTTTAAAATGCTTGTGAGGTTGGAGGTTGTTTTGTGTTTGGTTGTCTGCATATGTTTGGTGATACAGGTATACATACGTTCATTTTATAAACCCTTATTAGCCTTTGGAAAATGATTTTGTTGTTTTGGAGTATACGCTTAGGGTGGCTGCAAGAAAAGAAAAAAGGTCTAAAATAAAAGTAGTTTTACTGCACAGATAAATAGAAATGCATTTTGTTGTACTGTAGAATCAGGAAGGAATTATTTTTATCCCAATGTAGATTAGGATTTAAATTTTGGAGAGAGAGAAAAACCCTGTTAGGAAATTATTAAATATATGTAGTGTAGGCTTTGAAGTCTCTAGATCAAATATTTTGCATGATTACTTTGTAGCTTAATAGAAAATGGTGTACTTACTAACTAAACAAAACAAAAAATTCACCAGATTCTTTATCATTCACCAAATGGAGGCTGTTGATTTTGATTCATTTAAAGTATAAAATCTTTTATTAATTGCAAACAGTGCAATTATTTATACTTCACAGTGCCTTCCCAGACCTTCCACCTTAGGTTCTGCTGCAAAAAGCACAGGTAAGCACAACCTAAGGAAGTGTATAAATACATATTTCAGTATATTAATGTTGTCCCTGTGAGATTTTTTCTGTGCTTGTGTATTCAAAAGCAATCTGCTAATATCTTTCCCCAAATGTATTCTGCTATTCATGGTTTCATTCCAGTGGAAAGTCTGAAACAATTACTGACATTTCTGGGTAAATGTGTATCTTTATTTTTAAAAGATAAGTGGATTGCTGCAGTAATTTTTGAGTAAGTCAGTTTTACTATTTTCCCTCAATAGCTGAGTTGTGACATATGAATATAAAATATTTTTTCAAGATACAGGAAATATTGGTCAGAACTTCAACAGCCTTCAAAAAATGTTTATAATGTAAAAGGATGTTATACCCATTACTACTTATTCAAGCATACTGTGTGTTTCTCTTAATCCCAAAGCAAGTTTCAGGTATACACCATAAAACATAATAAATTAATCTAGTTTGCTTAATTTTACAGAGAGGAAACTTAGACTTGAACTTTGCAGAATAGTTGTAGAAAGCATGTATGCCAGTTAAAAATGTTGACAGTTGGCAAATATTTCTTTATTATAGCAATCTCCTTCCTTACCTTGCTATTTCAGCTGAACTGCTGTATATTTTTGCCAGTTTAAATGTTTTGTGTATGGCTTATATCTAGATAGTTTAACAGGTGCAATTTTTCAGTTCTAAGTAGACAATGCTGAGGCAGTACCATCCGTTTTTTGTTCATCACTTAATACAATGTTTTGGTTTTATCAAGTCCTGTTTTTATCTGCATCAAAGAAAAATATTCAAAAATCCTGCCTTCATTTTCACACACAGTGCTGAAGATGCTGCAAGCACCAAATCATAGCTCATAAAATCAGGTCCTGAGATAGTTACTTCCAATAAAGAGGATTCCTTTGAGTGTATGGCCATGGTGAGCCGATGAGCATGGACCATAGAAGGGCTCCATGTAGAAGGTAAAATTGGCAAAACAATACCGATTTTAAATGTATCCCATACTTTATGGTGGTGTAGGGTATAATTTGCCTGTTTTAATCGCTTCTCATTCTTTAAAGTGCTATTTGCCTGACCATAAATGTTCCATAATTTGTTATGTGATAATAATACAAACCATCAATTTGCACTTTGCTAAATAGTCAAGCATAGATATGTTTTGCATTTTCACCACAAAATTAATAGTTGTACTTGAATTCCCTTGGCACACATCATTTTCGGTTGTAGTTAAACATGTCAGGATTGCATTTTTATATTTTACAACTAGGTTTGTGCTTAAAGGCTTTGTTGTGGTTGGGTTGTTTCCATTTTAAACTAAAGGTTATTTTTGCTCTAGTTTCAGTATATGTAGCTTAAACTGACATTTAATTTTAAAGGCAAGGAATATAGCTTAAATGGTTCCCATAGGAGATGATAGAAAATCTGCTTTACTTTGTTTTTCTTTTCACATTTGTTGATGGACCTATAGGCCTCTTCTTGCACTAAGAGTAGTTCTACTGTTCAGTTTGTCTCATTCCTTTCAGAAATGTTAGGTTGAATCAGTCATAGAGCAGACATTGTGATCCAATTCCTAGGTCATTTGTTTTCTTTGAGCGGTTCTTGTGCTATAGCAAGGGGGGAAATGTAATACTAGGCAGAAGTAAGAGTAATTAATGCTTTAAACAGAATCTTGATTTCACTTTATCGTAACTTTTACAGATCACCCTTCAGTATGTCTTCTGTGTAGGATATGCTTTTCTAGTTTAAGAAAGCAGTTTTCTAGATTTATTTGTGCAAATCACACGTTAGTTGATTGCGAGGTAGGCTGCATCTTTCATTAATTCTTTTTCTTGAAAAACAAGACTTGTCAGCTGTTAGGAAATCTTTATTTTTGTAAGCTGAAGGGTAGAACTGTTCAGTTTTCTTTGTGTACTAGCCGTTCACGAGCCAGAAGCTTAGGTCTTAACAGAATTCATAATGTAGATCTACATTGTCTGCCGGTAGTACCCTATAAAACACTTTGTGTTTATGCAACCTTTATCTTATATGCATGCAAGATGCATTTTTGTCCTGAGATAGTGTTCTCTGCAGAAACTACCCGTGTTTTAAAAAAAAAAAGAAGACTGTCTTTTAAAGGCAACTGTGATGGGAAGTATCTTAGGGAGATGCAGCTTGGACGTGAGGTAAATCAAATGCTTTACAGTATGTTGTGTTGAGCTTGCAAATATTGACATTGTATGTACTCATGAATGCTCATTAATTGTAATGTTTTTGTATGAGTTCTCAATAAATGTAAACTAATGAATACTCGTCTTTCCATTTGTTATACTCCTCATTTCAATGAAGTGTTCAGTGACTCCTGCTTTTGTGAAATGACGAGAAGTATTCAACTCTGTAGGAACCGAACATATTTATTAACCTTCCTATTACTTCAGCATACAAACAATTGATTTGAAACACTGTCACGTTCAATGAGAAACCATTATCTCTTGCATAAAATGTAAGAATCTAAGTTCTGCCCAAGAAATGTAATGTTACATCAAAATCAAATGGAAGATTCTGCAAATGTATCACATCTCTTCATTCTGAGTTTCCAGTGCATGTATTAGCCTGTATTGGAGTTCACTTAATTACGTCCCATATTGCAGAAACCACAGGTGTAAAATCTGTTTACTTCAGAAATGGGAGGGGGGGATATGAATCATATAGTAGTAAATAATGTAGTGAGATGATTCTAAATTATACAAGATGAGATGCAACATTGAAAATCCATCCACTATTATAATGCTAACCTCTTCAATATGAATTATTCCTATATGGTTCAGTATTTCAAGTTAGATGCTTGACAGTGTCTACTGTCTAATAAATGTAAATGTTTGATTTCAAATAACTTGAACTTAGAACTGTGCGTATAGTTTGTAGTTACATAAATCTGTCTTCAAGCCATTATTATAAACTGGATATAAATCTTGATGTAATTTTATTAACACAAAAGAAAAGGAAAATGTTGCATTCAACAAAGCCTAACTTAAACCACTACATGACATTTTGGCTTCTTAATAGTTTAGCCAAGAACATACTTATTGCCCCACAAAGCTTCCAGGACCAGAAAAATAAACATCAACTTTTTGTGGAGAATGAATTAATGAGTCTTTGGCTCTAGGAACACTGCTTGAATTTTGCTTTTTCTTATCACTTTGGCTTAATTTTACCACACTGACAATAAGGTTCTTAAGAGAGCAGGTGGCTTGTTGAACAACCAGTTCTACACTTGGATCACATTTCATACTAGTGCATATAATTCATGATGGAAAGCCGCTGGAACCATATGCCAGACTGCTTTGTATGAACAGCTTCATTGGTCTAATGGAAAATATCTGGCACTTGAAGCACTAAGGTGGCATAAGCCACTTGTGCTGGTTACATGTGTAGATTAAGCCACTGTATCCTAAATAAAACCAGCTTCTGTTGCCAATTTCCAGTCTGAAACCAAGAGGGATTCAGGAAAGTTGAGTATCTTATTTGAGGAATGATAGACAACTTCTTGTTGGCCCCGCCACAGAAGGAAAAGATGAATGCAGTAAAATTTAGGGAAGGAAGGCTCCAGAAAAAGCATACTTTAATAGTCATCAGCTGAAGAGAAGAGAAGAGAGAAAAGAGTTAAGAGAAGATTGGCAGAATGTAATAAAAACTGAAGACCCGAGAACTTAACGCTATCTCTTACTTTCAATGGTGAGAATGCATGTGCTAGCTGCTGTTCCTCTACTGTTTACTGCTTTACACATATATTCCCCTTCATCTTCTGGGAAAGTTTCTGGTAAGTATAGGCAATATGTGTCTCCTCTCTCAATATATTGATAGTCCTCACAATCCTGCAGCATTTCCCCTTCAAACCACCATGTAACTTCTGGCTTTGGTTCTCCAGTTATTTTCACAGTAAACCTCACAGGTTCACTATCCACAACAGACACATTTTTAAGAGGCTTCTTGAACCACGGAGCCCCTGAGCGTGCTTGCTGTTCTTCATCTTCGTATACTGAGCCATTAACAATGCTGCCTTCTTCCTCTTCCTCCTCTTCTTTTTTCTGCATTTAAAACACAAAGTGAAGGAATGCACAGTGTTTACATATCATATGGGGGATTCAATATCTGCAGTACTAATGCCTATTTTGGATAAAGCAAGTACTCGCATTATAACTAGCCTTCCAATATGTTAACATCAGCAGATTTGGCCTATAGTCCACTGCTAGAGTAGTTAACACAGGTCATGGGCAGGGATTATGACAACCGGAAGTTAAACTAACTGCCGACAGTACCATTGTTGTTTCTGGGGATTGCTATTAATAACATCTGGATAGTTGCACAATTTTCATATTTGAGAGGTTGTGCTATCCAAAGACTTGGCCTGTTAGAATCAAATGTGGTACATTCGCCTTTCTCTGTCAGAAGGACACCGTACACAAACATACATTTATTTGGGAAGCTACAAATTATTTTGGTTATTCAGATATTTTGGTTATTCAGATATTTAAGATGTTCTCTAGGAATCTCTAGGTCCTCCAGTGGGACTCTATAGTCAACTTCTCCAGTCACACTGGGGGACAGATTTCTACAGTGAACAACTCTAGGTTCTCCAATGTGTTCCTATTAGGGTCATCTTCCAGCAGACTGAGCACAGAGTCCTACTGGAGGACTGAGAAATGCTTAAAGAGGTGTTCTCTTGGGTAAAAGCACAGCAGTTTCTTTATTCCTGGTATTTCACGCCCCTAACCCCAGTGAATGTGGAGGGCTGATAATAACTAGGACTAATATAAAAGAAAAGCAGCCTCTGACTAGATTCAAAATCTAAATATTAAACTACTCCTTCATTAAAATATACAGCTACTATTAAGCTGCTCTTATTTCTTGCTCTAATAAACAGCAGTTAGATGTGAGAAGCCATTTGCTGTGAACCAGTTAATTAGCAACATGGAGGTAACTAGCACGAATGGGTCATTTCAGGAAAGCAAGACGGTGACTGCCTCAATTCGCATAGGATTTAATTGACTAGGAAAAACTTAGGAAATTCGTGGGTCCATCAATAGACTTGTTATACGGAGCGTTCTGATCTAGTCTTGTGCAGTAGATTGGTCAAACTTTTATCCTGACAGAAAGGAAGGTGGCATTAGACCACGTCATCTTTCAGAGTTGACAAAAGGGACCATAGAAAGGATATGCGGATACAATAAATATACAAACTTTAGCCAAATACAATTGTGCCTCCTAAGAACTGGTACTTATTAATGGAATCCTAGTATGTGTTAACTCTTCCCATTCATAATACTAGGAAAAACTCAATGCTCTTCTTAAAAGCCATCAGCTTTTGATACCTTTTGCAATGCGGCATCAATTTCCTTTTGCTCAAATTGCATGCGTAGCATTTTTTGTTCTTCAATCCTCCTTTGCTCTTCCTCTTCCCTTGCCTTCGCCATTTGTTCAAACCTGGCTTTCATGTCAACCTTGTGGGTAAATGGAGCTTCACATTTTGCAGCAGGCTTCACATCTACTTCACCTTCCTTCAAGAAATTTTTAAGAATGGGAGGGAGAGAGTAAAAAAAGAGCTAAAAGTAGGTCAAGTAATAAGGCAACCTTTTGACTATTATTCTTTAGTGCTACTTGAGGTTGGCAGCTAAAAGTAATTATAAATACAATTTTTTGGTCATGATTGTCACAATATCGACCTTCGAGAATCCATTCATTCAACAGAGATACCACTTGGGCACCATTTAGTGGTAAGAAGTTAGATTTCTATTTGAAAAATCATTCATCAAAATAGGACTGCAACAAGTGAGAAACTGACAAGTGAAAAGCTAAAGCTGGAATTATAAATGACTATCAGCTGTCTAGTCTTTAAAGGAGATTGAATTGATTGAATTGCAACAGCTGACAAGTACATATCGCAGAGAAGAATGTCCCTTGACATGCCCTGTCATCTAGCATTACTAAAGTACTAGCAAAATAATTACAGGATTTCCCCCTTTATAGAAGATTTCCCCTTTATGGAAAGGTAGCAACAATGCTATTAGGGGCATAATCAGTAAATAAGAGTACTAACACTCCCTGCCACACTTTTCAATTCCCTACACGCCCCCCCCCCTTTTTTTTCTCTTCCCCCGGCGTATACACGCCTCCCCTTGGTCTTATCCACTTTACCCCCATTCTTTCTTTTATAATAATATTAGATATGTCAATGATTAACACCCTCTTGATGTATTCCTAGTGCAAACTTTCAATAAAAATTACATTAAAAAAAAAAAAAGAAAGGTAGCAAAGTAGTCAAAAGTCAAGGAAATGCATGTACGGAACTGCAAGAAGGAAGTCTGTACTTAAGCAATTAGATCAGTCATTAAAATAATGCCTCATTCGTATCCTGAGTAATGAGGCATCCTTTCATATGACCGCTTTTGTAAAATATTCAAAATCATAAACATAACATTGAAAACATCCTGAATATGATGGCATTTTATCATGGAGAATCATCTGAATGAGTGAATTCAAACAAGTTTTAGTTGATGTGAAGACAATATTGACAAGGGTCACATATTTCTGGGTACTTATAACTGAATACCTGGAAATATGCTTTTTTTTTTTTGTCGTGTCAGGAGGGACTTGAGAAACTGCAAGTCGCTTCTGGTGTGAGAGAATTGGCCGTCTGCAAGGACATTGGCCAGGGGACGCCCAGATGATCTGATGTTTTTATCATCCTTGTGGGAGGCTTCTCTCATGTCCCCGTATGAGGAGCTGGAGCTGATAGAGGGAGCTCATCTGCCTCTCCTCGGATTCGAACCTGCAACCTGTCGGTCTTCAGTCCTATCGGCAATCCTACCTACTGGTGGCACAGTGGGTTTAACCCACTGCGCCACCAGGGTTCCGGAAATATGATAATAAAAGCAAGGCAAAAGGGGGCAAATAAAGCATGAGTAAGCATAGATAAGGCTGAAACTGTGTATGATAGATATGTATGATTAACCACACCGAGTCGCCTTCGGGTTTAGAGAGGCGGTATATAAATATGGTAAATAATAAATAAATAATCATAGTTACAGAGCTATGCCATTAATCTCAACCCAATTTCCAATTACTGAAAAGCAGCAGCTGAGGTCTGCTCTGTTGGCTCAAGAAGCAGCTGTCACTTCTAACCCTATGAGTGATTTCATAGGGTTAGAAGAGCAGGACCGGACAAATTTCTCTCTTGAACCAGAGATCCTTGGCACAAGGAGAGTTGCAAATATCAATCAACTGCTTCTTGAGCAAGAGGGGAACAGATCCCCATCAATTACAGTGGGTGCTAAGTGAGGATTGGGAGACTTCCACTGCCCCTACATAACCCTAAACTAGTGGCAGTGGAGGGGCCACAATCACAAGTGCATCGAGGAGTCTGGCCATAGTTGATCATCAAAACTTCTATTTCTTACAAAAGGAAAGCATAGTTCTAAAATGAACAAAAATGTTCATTCATTGTTGCTAAAAGATGGTTTGTAATGCAGTTTTCATCTTGGTGAAATGTTTTGTGCAGTTTCCAAATAGGTATGTTCAGTTAATAGTCACTGTCTGGAGATGTTCATTGAAATGACGGCCTTGACCAAAAAAATGTATTCCAGTGTTCATTGTTTTAAAGCATCTAATAATTTTTTAAAAAAAAAACTTTGTGTCATTTTCTTTTACTCACGGTCATGTCAATCTACAAAAGCTGGCCTGTGGATGTCAGAGCAATAGACAATGACATTTTGATGACTTGAATGAATATGAACACACTAGAATAATGCACAATGGAGGACCTTCTCACAGAGACACCAGAGGGCACTCCAAGTTACCAGTTTCTAGTCAAAGGAAATCTAGTATAATGCCAAGTTTAAAACTTCATTTGTGTTTTTTTTTAAAAAAAATACATTGTAACTGTACCCTCATTTTGCTTCTGACACAATATTTTTTTAAAAAAACCCTAGAATCAGAGTTGGAAGAGATTGACTTTTGTTTTGCTAAAGATGGAAGTACATATCTTTTGCAGTTGTCACACTTTTCTCATGGGTCAACTGCATCCTGTAGTTTCATCTAAACCTGTTAATCACAAGTGACATTTCACTACACTTCATTATCACAATGCTATTAGATCCAATTGTGGTGAAGTAATTAATCATGTAGAAACATCAATACATTCATACCCACTGTGCTTTGGTGCTATATCTAGTGCTGGCTATACATGCATTTATAGATGGTGGCACATAATAATCACAAGATTATTTTAAAAACCCTTAAGAAAAACATTTGCAATTTGATGCCAGTACTAGCCATCATATCTCTGAAAAATTAACTGCATTTTGATTCTTTCAAGGCATTAAAAAATCAACATACTTCCTGAAACTTCTCTGCTTCCCTTTCTTTTATTTCCTGATCCGTAGCTCTCCTCCTTGCTCTCTCTTCTTCGATTTTTTTCTGGATTTCTTCTTCAGACAACTGCCCAATTTTTTCAAACTTTTTCTTCAGATTCTTGGCTTGAATTGAACCACTTCTTTTCAATCTTATTAGCTCCTCATATTCTCTGCTAAGTTCAAAGGTTTCACACTCCTCTTCCTCCTGATAAAGAAAAATAAGGATAATTATGTGCTTTTGGGAACCCCGGTGGTGCAATGGATTAAACTCCTGAGCTGCTGAACTTGCTGACTGAAAGGTTGGTGGTTCGAATCCAGGGAGTGGGGTGAGCTCCTGATATTAGCCTCACCTTCTGCCAACCTAGCAGTTCCAAAACATGCAAATGTGAGTAGATTAATAGGTACTGCTTCGGCGGGAAGGTAACGACACTCCATGCAGTCATGCTGGCCACATGACCTTGGAGGCATCTACGGACAACGCTGGCTCTTTGGCTTAGAAATGGAGATGAGTACCAACCCCCAGGGTCAGCATGACTAGACTTAATATCAAGGGGAAACCTTTACCTGCTTTTGAGTACCTTTCTTTATTAAGAAATTATCAGTGATGCTAAGTTCCATTCATTTTAATATGGCCATTCATTGGCATGGATTTACAACATCTTGCTTGCTGTTTATTTAGTCTCTCATCCATTCCTAGCTGTGGCTTTATTCCTGTATTGTCCTTATGAACAAACATGTGGTGCTCCAATCAAGCAGAGATTCCCACTGGACAATGGCAGAGTGTAATTGCTAATTATTCCAACTGCCACCCCCAGGATCACTTTTAGTGTTGCTTCCAAATAGTCTTGGCTTATCACAAAAGGCTGTAGTGTAAAACAAGGAACCAGAAAAAGTCACATTGTCCCCCTTCATCAGACAACAGCATTCAAACTTATTTGTCCATGGGAATCTAAGGTTTATGGCCAAGATCAAACTGGATATTCATGATGTTGCTGATTCTGACTTCTAAGCATCCAGCCCAAACCAGTAATTTTCAGATTATGATCATTCTTCTCACTCAAAATTTGAGGGAGGGGGATTTAAGTAATAGCCAAACCTCTCCCATTTCTTGTCTTAGCTGTTCAAATTCCTGCTTCTCCATTTCCATTTTTTGCCTGCGTTCTTCCTCCGTACGCCTCTTTTCTTCTTCCATTTTTTGTCTCAGTAATTCCTCAAAGTTGATTTCCAGTTTTCCAGGTGTGAGAGATTCTTGTGATACAGTTTTTGACATGGGCGAAGGCTCATCTTCTAGGCCCTGTTAGAAATAATGTATGGCCTCAGTAGTTAAAACTTCAACACAAGTCATCAGTCATCACTACATGATAGTTCCCTGAATAATTATATTTGCCCCACATTGAAGCCCTTTCCCTCTGCTCTTTTATTCTGTTCTTTTCCCAAATATAAAAAATCAACTGGAAAGCTAGGTTTGGTTAGACAGCGCAGGAGAAAACTGGTTAATTACACTTTCAGTACCACCTTCGCCCAGCAAGTGCCAGAACTTTTTATTTATTTAGTTCAGTGCTCAGCAAATTTATTTATTTATTTATTTATTTATTTATTTAAAATGTGCCCCATCCTTCTCTACCTCCGAGGAGGGATTCAGAATGGCTTCCAAGCAGGCAACAATTCAATGGCAACATAGTAAAACCACATAATAAATATATCCATATACATTAAAATAGTTAAAATATACATTAGATTAAAATTGCCATATTGAAATTGTCATCCAAATCAGTCCAAGTACGTTCCAATAAAATCTTGTTTTCCCCAGTAAAACAAACTATTCTGTGAATGCTTGATCCCATAATCAGAATTTAAGTTTCTTCTAGAAGGTCAGAAGGGAGGGGGTGGATCTAATCTCGCTAGGGAGAGAGTTCCACAGCCAAGGGGCCACCACTAAGAAGGCCCTGTTTCTCGTCCCCACCAGACACAACTGCAATGGCAATGGGACAGAGAGCAGGGCCTCCCTGGATTATCTTAAGATCCTAGATGGTTTGTTGACAGGTAAACTGGGCTGGAGCCCTTTAGGGCTTTATAGGTTCACACCAGCACTTTGGATCAAGCCTGGAAGCTAATTGGCAGCCAGTGGAGCTGACGTAGTAAGGGAGTTGTACGCTCCCTGTACCCTGCTCCTGTGAGCAACCTGGCTGCTGAGCACTGGACTAACTGAAGCTTCTGAGCAGTCTTCAGGGGCAACCCCATGTAGAGTGTGTTGCAGTAGTCTATTCGGGATGTAACCAGAGCATGGACCAAGTCAGACCTCCCAAGATACGGGCGCAGCTGGTGCACAAGTTTTAACCATGCAAAGGCTCCCCTGGCCACCGCTGAGACCTGGAGTAGAACCTTTCAGAATAACCTTTCCAATGTTGCTGAGCTGCAGCTCCTGGCATTGCTCATCACTGGTTGTTATAGTGTGCTGCCGGGAGCTATAGTTCATTCATCCTTGATATAGAGCCTGATCCAAGGATGTAAAAAAACCAGACATCAGAGTAATTACACTACCATATTTTTTCTGGCTTCAGCAAATGCCTTTTTCTCCTCTTCTATGCGCCTTCTGGCTTCCTCTTCTGTCCTCCTTTTTTCTTCTTCTTGCCTCTGCCTTTCTAATTCCTCAAAGGTAAGTATCAGTTTTGCAGGATGGAATTCCTTGGCAGAATTTTCACTTTCACTATCATCTTCATCATTTACCTTTTGGGGAAAACAAATTTGAAAATGAAATTTGGATTAACATGAAGATGACTAAATAGAGGATACATCATGGATAACATGACTTGGTGGAAAACATGACTTGGATACATCATGGATAACATGACTTGGTGGAAAAGACAATGTTTGGCAAAGTGGAAGGCCATAAGAAAAGAGCTATCCTTCTGGCGGAAAGCTAAAACCTTTTTATTCAGGCAGACTTTTAAAGACAAAGGTGTTTGAGATCATCAAGGGCTGCTGTAATTTTGTGATGTGATCTTATACGACTTTATAGTTTAAACCTGGATTGTTTTAATACTAATGTTGTTTAATACTGTTTTAATATTTGTATATTTGTATATTTGAAGTTGTATTGAAATGTTTTTAGTTGTGAGCCACTTTGAATCTCCATATGGAGAGAAAAAGCAGGATATAAATAAACAATAAATAAATATAGGAATAATTAGTAAATGCGTTAAGTTATATTTTTGGTCTGAAAAACAAATGCTACTGCAGGTCATGGACTGCATAAACTTTCTTTGGTGTTCTTAGGCGATTTAAGTGTGTTATCATTACAAATGCAGTAAGACGATTAATCTTTTGTGTGCTTCATACAGACAAGGAAATGAGATTTTCCTTGTATACTGGAACATACACTTATAAACTTACCATTTGCTGCCTTGCTTCCTCAAAGGCACGCTTTTCTTCTTCCAAACGTAGCCTTGCCTCCTCTTCTGCTTGCCTCTTCTGGTTTTCTTGTCTTTGTCTTTCCAGTTCCTCAAATGTTAATTTCACTTTACTGGGAGATGGAGAATCTTTTCCTTCATCATCAGGTTCTTCATCTTCATCCTATTCAGAAAGCTTATTACTTAGATGTAAACCATCTTGACAGTAACCTATGCACTTAACATCTCACCTTTCCCTGAAATCTTAAGCCCACTTACCTGGAAGTGAGTTACTTTGTAAACACTAGAGCTTACTATTAAGCAAACATGCTTATGATCACCATGCAAGGGGTGTTTTCCCCATTTTGCTTACCGCATCTGGTGAAAAATATTTGACTTCCCTGAGAGCCTGCTTTTCCTGCTCATATCTCAAACGCTTTTCTTCTTCATGTTTTCGTCTTTCTTGTTCTTCTCTTTCTCTCTCTAGGTCCTCAAAACTTATTTTCATCTTGCCAGGTGTTTTGCTAGGTTTTACAGGAACTACTGTCACTAGCAAAGAATCATCACCTTCCTGTTGTCAAAAACAAATGTTGCCATGAACATCTGGACTGCACAGCTACTACTGCCTGTGAATAGTTACAATTACACCAAAATGTTCATTTTCCTACAGTGGGTAGATCAGTCTGTGGCACAGTGGACCTAAATCATTTTCCAATGGTCAGCTAATCTCTAGATTGTAAATAGGATACAGGAGGAAGAGGAATACAGAGTCTGACGAACATTAGTAAGAACACTTAAACATGAGTTGCATTTGCATTGAAGAATAGAATCATGAATGATTTAAATACATATATTTGTGTGAACAGAAGAACTCTTTCTATATACAGAAGAGATTTTGATCCAACAGACACTCCCGCTAGAGAAAGAATGGACATTTTTGTTTCTCCTTCCCCTGTGGTCTGGAGAAAAAGAGTTTGGTGGAAGAAGACAAATGAATAAAAATCACATTCTCCCTTTTTCTAGCATAGTGTCTCATGAGAAGAACCCTGTTCATGAAACATTCAGGTTTTACTCAGTGTAGATAAAGCTGTGTGGTTTTTACAACCACCCCGCAAGGCAGGACAGTATTGCTCCTATATTGTGAATAGAAAGGTTGGAAGACAGTCCCTTCACTTACTCCTCCCAGTAACGTCATGACAGAGGTGAGATACCAGCTGGAGACTCATTGTTAGATCAGTCTGGTCTTACATTTCATATGTTTATACAACTTTGAATACTGAACGAATCTAAAACATCCCTTGCCTTTTCAGAAAAAAAGCCATCAGTTAATACTGCCCTAAAGCATGAGATACTTGAAAAAGGTTCTCTTTAACACAAAACAACACCATTTACAATATTAACTCCAGTAATCATAGAAGCATAGAATTGGAAGAGACCTCATGGTTCATCCAGTCCAACCTCCTGCTAAGAAGCAGGACAATCGCATTCAAAGCACCCCTAACAGATGGCCATCCAGCCTCTGTTTAAAAGCCTCCATAGAAGGAGCCTCCTCCTTCTACATCCTCCTTCTTGTATTCAAACATTCAGTTCAGTTCATCCCAGGAAAAATTAAACCCATAAAGAACTAAAGTGTCTGATTTCCAAGACAGAGACCGGTTACCAGGTATTAAAACTAGTGGGAATCATATTAATCTGAAATGTAAGTTTATTATGTCTTCCAAATGCTGGTCTGAATTGATTTGGAGACATTTCAATACATTAGATTAGATGTAGTAATCAACATTACTGAGAAATGTTCAACGGGTATAAAAGAAATACTATTTATTTTAAGTCTGTTTTAAAAATAATATAAAAATCAATAATTAGATAATATTTTATGAGAAGAGCAGTCATACTGTACTTTCATTTATGTGGTCCAAATGAAGCATTATATTGCAATATGGCAACACCACTCAGTTACTAAATGCTTTAAAAATCAGTGGTCTGTAAAACACTGTTGCTCAGAAAGAGACAATGATTCTCACAGCTCCTTGGAGGTCCAGTTAAGATACTGTTCTCAGTGTCATCTTCCTTTTTGCCAAATGTCTGCTCTTTCCTTAAGCTATTCCCTTCCTCACATACTGAAGCTATGGAAAAACTACTTAAATCACACAGTAAAGCCTTGCAGCAAGTCCTTGCATCTAATTGAGCGCACTTTAACCACTGTGTAAGGGTTTACTCCAGGAAAGAGCTGCCATCTGGATGACTACCAGCAAAAAGAACTCAAGAGGCAGGCATTAAATCAGGCATCCTCAAACTGCAGCCCTCCAGCTGTTTGGGCCTTCAACTCCCAGAATTCCTGACAATTGAACAAGCTCGTTTGGGCTTCTGTGAGTTGGAGGCCTAAACAGCTTGAGGGCCACCCAGTTTAAAGATGTCTGCATTAAATCACAGTAAGGTACTTTAAACTTGCTAGTTAGCCTGTTTCTACTACTGCTGCTACTACTACTACTACTATTACAAAAGCTGGGTGGCCATCTGTTGGAGGTGCTCTGATTATGCTTTTCCTGCATGGACTAGATGGCTCCTGGGGTTGCCCCTATTTTTTGTGTCAGAAGCGACTGGAGAAATTGCAAGTTGTTTCTAGTGTGAAATAATTGGCTGTCTGCAAGACGTTACCCAAGGGACATCCAGATGTTTTACCATCCTGTGGGAGGCTTCCCTCATGTCCCTGCATGAGAAGCTGGAGCAGACAGACAGGAGTTCACCCCACTCCCTGGATTCAAACCGCCAACCTGTCAGCAGTCCTGCTGGCACAAGGCACCCATTGAGCCACTCATGGTTTGCCCATGCCTTTTACACACACACACACACACATAGTATATAATATATAAACATTTCTTGGGGTTCCATAAAAATGTTTGCTTTAAAAGGGGCTCCACCACTGAAAACTTTGAGAACTCCTGCTTTAAACAATTCTACAAATAATTTTAATATGAGAAGCTCTGGAGACCTTAGAAAGAGGGCTTAGTCAACCATGCGAGTCTGAATGTGCTTAAGACATTTTCATGAGTTCTAAATCATTCAGCAAAACACATTTTAGTTGTGTGCCGGTTAAAACTTTCTTTTAATTTATCTGTATTAAGCAATTTGTAGGAGAGTAATTGAATGTTTAAAAATGAGAAAAGTTTCAAATCATAAATGTAAGGTGAAATGTTAATCCTGTTACTATAAATAGGTATGATTCACTTGATGCACTGACATAGATATCCATTTACAATGTGATAGTAATGGCATCACATCAGTGCATCACGTCAGTGCAGGCAATAAATGGAATAGGGCTTTGGTTGCTATCAGCCCATAACATTTTCTTTGGAGCTACATAATTCCATCTATCCCAGTGGTTCTCAACCTGTGGGTTCCCAGATGTTTTGGCCTTCAACTCCCAGAAATCTTAACAGCTGGTAAACTGACTGGGATTTCTCAGAGTTGTAAGCCAAAACACCCAGGGACACTCAGGTTGAGAACCACTGATCTATCCAATAACAGCACTCATCAACCTAAATCACTGGTAAATTGATTCTAAAGAGCGAACTGTTCCAAGTTCAACCAGCAGATGGCATTTCAAAATTCATCTCAAATTTCCACAGAAGTTCAATATCTGAGACACACCTCTTTTCTTCCAGCAAGCAAAGGATGAAGTATAGTAACTGACTGACTATGCAAATGTAAATGTCATCAACAGTCACTACAAACTAGGAAATAGTCAAGACACCATAAAAAATGAACAGTAATTCTGAGATTACAATTACCGTAAGTACACGAGATAATGATCAATCTGAAAATAATCTGCTGTCCAGTCCGATTGTCTGTCTTCCCAAAATTGTTATCCAACACTCACAGAGCACTTTAAACACAGCTATTTCTACACAGTAATAACCATGAGTTATATAAAGGTGAATGTTTCAGTGTAAAGAAGTCTGATTATTACCTCCGATGCCGATTCAGTTCCCGAATTGTTTAACTGTTCATCAATCTATTAAATAAGAATTTTATACAACAGTGTTATTTTGGTTCTTTTTCATCAAATGAATATATTGTGCAATTGGATGTGTGATTATAAATCAAAATGTGACATTAAAAGGTATAAATATGGCACTGTTCAACTCTCACTGTACACATGTTAATCTGTGACTCCTGGTCAGACATTTTACTTCATGTAACACCCCTCAGCTCCATGAAAAACCCAGAATTTAGCATGCCTTACCTCTAGTCAGCACAGGATACCACAAGACCTTAGATTCATCAAAAGGTGGAAATTATTTTGAGGTGCACAACAAAACCTCCAATCAACACAATGGAACAGTTTATGACCTACCAAGTCAAACTATAGAGTAGGGTGTCCAACTCATTTTCACTGAAGGCCACATCAACCTTTTGTTTGCCTTCAAAGCACTGTTTGTAACTGTAAGACTGTATAATATAACTATTTTGCCCTGGCGTTAAAGGCCTCACGGACCACATAAAACGACATGGCGTGCCAAATTCGGCCTGTGGACTTTGCGTTTGACTCATGCCAATGAGAACTTACAAAAAATACTTCTGTGGAATACTGCTAGTTAGGGTGTGCTAGGAATTGTAGTCCAAAATATAACCTTTCCATGCTCTGCATTCTCCTAATCCAATGTAGATTTATTCAACCAAAATTCTGAAATTTATAGACCTATTTTTTTAACACCAGTTTATTGTTGAGACCCTGTTTTGATAATCTTGGGCAAGCTGGACTGTAATAGTAAACCACAAATTGTGCAGGCTTGATAATGAGTAAACGGAATGATTTTATATTGGAAAGCATGGTATCCTTCATATTCCCCCTCTCAGTTTTGTGTCCCGAAAAGGAAGGGCTAGATCCTGTAGTCATAGATATTCAATGTTCATACAATCATAGTACAGCCCAGGTTTGTTTACTTCTCCATATTTCATGTGCTTCTTCCTGTTTAGTGCATGTGTATGCGCAATATGGACATGAAACTGTAAGGAACATAAACCGTGGTGTACAACCCTTAACAACACTAACATGTTTCTGTTTCCTCATTATTGAGGCATCATACACACATCTCACATACAAGTCCCTTCCCTCACATCTAGGAGGATTCTACCCAAGCATGGCTTTACACCCCAAGTACAAAATAGGGTGTAAAGCCATTCTCATAAAGCTCTCTAATTCAATGAAACACACTGGGATTTAATTAGCAACAGTCATTTACCACAGTCAGCTAACTGCCCATTTACGCAATTATTAGCTATGTACTTCACATTATGACAATACTAATATTACTCTAGGGAAATTCTGGCAATTACAGTTTATTCCACAAAAATATGCATGCTGTTATATTTTTAAACAAGCAAATTCCAAGAAGACAAATGTACAACCTTCCACTCAAAGAGTTATAGCCAAATTCAAGGGTACCAAAAAGCCATTGCAAAATATCAATGATAGTATTTCTTGCGGTACACACAGTACTTAATCCAGATAAGGATGTCTCCCTCATTGTATGCAGTATTCTTAATCTAGCAGTTGCACAACTGCTAAAGCTGCATACAGCCAAACCGAGACCACTCTATCAGCTTTCAATGGTCTCCATGAGGAGATCCTAATATGCAAAAAAAGCACCACAAAGTGAAATGGATAAGAAGCTTACACAAATGCTAGTTAGTCTAGGTATATAAGTGACCCAAAGAGCTGAGGGCCTTACTCTTGATCAAGAAGGCCAATATGGGCAATCTACCTCAATGCTAGCAAGAGTTCTTATAAGGGATGCCTTGGCATCTAATAGTACTTAATATCTAATCATGTACTAGATATCTCCATAAGAAAACAGTCATCACATCACATAACTGACCTATTTACAAATTACATAAATATTATGCAATTAGCATTAGGTCAGAGTCATCTCAATCACTTGGCTTCCTTTAATCCCACCCTAACCTTAACCGTAACCCTAATACGAAACCTCAGAAACAAACTAAAGACTATCAGTTTCAAGGCATTAGAACTCTTAAGTTTTCCAGATCTTTTAAAGGAACTCCATATATATATATTATGTTATAATATCCTTTTTTAACATGTCAGGAGTGACTTGAGAAACTGCAAGTCACTTCTGGTGTGACAGAATTGGCCATCTGCAAGGACATTGTCCAGGGGACGCCTGGATGTTTTGATGTTTTATCATCCTTGTGGGAGGCTTCTTTCATGTCCCCACATGAGGAGGTGGACCTGACAGAGGGAGCTCATTTGCGCTCTCCCTGGATTCAAACCTCTGACCAGTCAGTCTTCAGTTCTGCCGGCACAAGAGTTTAACCCATTGCGCCACCGGGGGCTCCTATAATATCCCATAGTATACCATTATACTTTTCACTATCTCTGAGCCAACAAAAAAGCATGTTTCTTATTAATTCATCTCTATGTTTTTCATTTGGTTTCTTCAAGTGCTAGAAAACACCCTCTTACTCTTTCAGCATCCAGTTTCAGTTCATATTATTGAAAGCACTAATGGTTCTCTCTTTAATCTTGCAACTGGCAGCACAAATTTATTTCCAGTTTTGTACAGGAACATCACAATCTGATCAAATAACTTAAGCAACCATACTCGAATACAAAATCCTGTCTTTTTGTGGAGAAAATGGAAGCACTAGGTGCAGAATGCCAGAAATAAGATCTCAAAAAAAAAAAAACCCCAAACATATGCTTGATATTAGCATTCTATACAGATGCCACCCTCTATAGAATCACACTATGTTGAACTTATAAATAGCTATAAGAAATTATATTGGCCTAAGGGTTTGGGTGCAGTGAAACCAGAGTCAATTAGTTTCTATGATTCAATGAAGAAGCTAACATTTGGATTCATATTATCCACAGTGGAATTTTCCCCATGTGACTATCCAGATTTAGGAAGGTGAAGACATTATCTATTAAACCATTTCCCCCCTATGCCCCCTGAAAGGTCGGACAAGGGATTGAAGGAGACACAATAAGATTGTTTTTCCCCCTGCCTTGGGCTCTAGTAAGAGCCTCTAGTGAAGTGGTTCCCAACCAATGGTCCGCAAGAATGAAAATATGGTCCATGGCCTCACGATTAATACACCGTTGCCTTGAAACCATGTGGCAATGAGAGCGACTGGTCTTGCAAAACCCTCTTATAGTGTCGAGGAAATGAGGATGTCGGGAGGGGAGAGGCTGACATCCTCATTGTCTCTCCCCTCCCGACTACTATGACATCAGCTCTAGATTACTAAATATGGTTTGCTGTGTGCGAGCAGATGGTGACTACTGAATGGTACATGTTCTGTATCAGAAACTAGAGCTGATGCGGTCTATCCAATACAATTCTCTGAATCAGCACCCCAAATAACCAAACCAAATCTAAAGTTGACCAAAAACTGATTCGGAACTCTTTTGGTACTAATGTTGGAGAGTGATCCCTGGTCAAAGTGGTCCCTGGTCAAAAATAGGTTGGGAACCACTGATTTAGTAAGAGCTTGTGGATTTTCATTTTTGTTTTTTGTTTTTGTTTTGTTTTGGGGTTTGTTTGTTTTTTTGTTTTTTGGGGGGGGGGTTGAGATAGTGAATCTACTCTTTTAGCCCAAACACTGAAGTAGCTGAACTCTAGTTCTAAACTAGTTTGGTCCATTAAATAACTTTTTCAAAATTTAGACTACAGTCCTGAACAGATTTGCAAGCTTCCTCAACAGGTAGACAAACAGACCATGTGTTTCCTATAACCAGATAGTGGCTTATATACTTGCATACACATACAGAGCTCTAGCTCTAATAATAAATGCAATACTGACATGGGATTTTTTTTCATAGACCGACAGAGTGGGCAGCAGTACTAGCAGTTAAACCCACCCATTTCCCCACTGACCTAGACCTACCAATTTTACCAAAATCGGAAATTACCAGATGGTTCCTTGTATAGTGGTGGTGGAGAAATACTATTCACAGGGTCCAGCCCTGAACAGACTTTAAGAATAAATAGCCAACATTCCATTTCAGGCTCTAATGGGATTTCAGGGAAGGAAAAAGTCTTAAAATTGATAAACGCTCCCTTTGGTGGTGTCCATGCTGTGGCCCTGGCATGCCACCTGCAGATTGCAGAGTTCCTCCCTTTTTTATGCAGCATGAGGCTTCACATGTATTAATGGTATATGTATACATTGTGTTTCTTTTTAAATTCGAAATTATACATTCCTATAGGCATACCGCTTGTGCTTTCTTTGCTAATTCTCTCTGAATTTTTCTTTTCTCTATCAGGTCCTGTTCAAGTCTTCTCTGCCTTTCCTCCTCCATTCTTTTTCGTTCTTCTTCTTGTCTCTGCTTTTCCATTTCAGCAAACTTCCCTTTGACAGTTCCTATGAACAGCAAAAGTAAAAATGAAAACTCCAGTTTTAATTTCAGATGCTGATTTCTTGGCAACACTGGAGGAAATTATCATTCTTTAAACATTGGTTTTTATTTTAAACGATGAATGCTAATACCAGAAGTGGTGAGTAGCCAACAATAACAACAACAACAACAACAACAACAACAATAACAACAATAGATGGTCACAATTCTCTGATTTATAATATTTCAAAAATGTAATTAAAAAACAAAGGCATTATTAAAACAATGAAAACTGTCAATTAAGTATTAATCTTGCACTGCAGTGAAAGAAGGGAAATAATCAGTGCATCCAAACTAGGAAGCACAGTTCATTGTCCCAAATAGGTTAAAGGTAAAGGTTTTCCCCTGACATTAAGTCCAGTTGTGTCCAACTCCGAGGGTTGGTGCTCATCTCCATTTCTAAGCTGAAGAGCCGGCATTATCCATAGACACCTCCAAGGTCACGTGGCCAGCATGACTGCATGGAGCGCCACTACCTTCCCGCTAACATAAGAATTAAATAATTAATTGTACTAGGGCCATATCCCTAGTACTCAAAATTGATCCTGAAAGTCAGTGTGCAGGCGGAAGAGTTAATCCAGAACACAAAGATATGGTTCTAACTGCACCATTCTGCATTAATTGACTTAAAATGCAGAGCCCAGTAATACCAAAGCATGAACGATGGAGGCAAAACCCTTCATAACAATGAACATGACCGTTTCCGTTCTTACCTGTCAATTTTGGAACGTAAGCTTTTTCTGCTTTAGAGGACACGTCTTCTTCTTCATCAGAAGCAAGCAGTTCTTTCATCTAAATAATGAATCAAAGATATTAATGCTGACTGTCATTTCAGACTTTGAAATCAAAGCTATAAAGTTTTTTAAATAGGAAAAATGATTCTATGCCAGTGTCAAAGCATTAAAAAAAAAGTAAGAGAAACAAGTAATTGCAAAAGGAAATGACCTCCTGCTTTCGCCTGTTCCATTCTTTCTCTCTAACATATTGTTCTTTTCTTCTTTGCTTTTCCTCTCTAGATCGTCTTTCATTTCTTTCTTCCCTTGCTTTCTGCATGGCTTCAAATTTATCCTTTACATCACCCTTTCGAAGTTTGGGCACATAGGACTTTTGGACAGGTTTAGATGAAGAAAGCAGAATCTTTGTGAAGGTGCAAAGAAGGAAAAGACAGAGAAAAGATGGTAGAAGCAGAGAAATTATATAGAGCATCAGACAGAATGTGAGATTATAGAAACAGAGATATAAATGGAATAAAGGAGTTTTTATCCCATTATTCCATCCAAATACTTTTCTAATTCAAAAGAATGCCTCTGGTCATTTTTATAATTGCAAAGTCCAGATTCTGAATGAACTACCATTTATTAAACCCAGGGTAGGCAAGTGAGCATAGAAACAGGAGCCAATTTTCACTCCTTAGTCCCATTAACCAGTCACCCTGGCATATCCTGGCACATTAAAAGTGGTGTCATGTCATTTATGGTTGCCATTTCTGGCTGAAAACTACTCCCCCAAAGACTTTGAGGAGAATCTAAGACTATTGGAAAAAGGTAAGCTACTGTCTTTAGTTTTGCACATTTGAGTGGCATGAAATAATGCAAAACAAAAAAGTGTTGTCAAAAGCTTTTATGGCCAGAATCACTGGGTTGCTGTGAGTTTTCCGTGCTGTATTATCTCCCGACGTTTCACCCACATCAATGGAAGACATCCTCAGAGGTTGTGATGTTCTCTGTTGGAAACTAGGCAAGTGGGGTTTATATAATTATGGAATAGCCAGGATGTGAGAAAGAATTCTTGTCTGTTTGAGGCAAGTGTGAATGTTGCAATTGGCAAGTGTGAATGTTGCGACTGTTCTGATTTTAGAACAAAAATGAACAAAATATGGCTATCAGTATTTTTAAAAACTCTAAAATCAGGACAGTAAATAAAGAACAACACTAAAAAACAAGGGGAATTCCAGACAGGAAACAATCAGGGCCAGCTAACAACAAAGGATTCTACCAGGCAGGAAGCAGCCAGACCTTGAAGCTGCAAGGCTATTCAATGCTAATCAAGGTGGCCAATTGCAACATTCACGCTTGCCTCCAGCAGACAAGAGTTCTTTCTCCCACCCTGTACATTCCACAGATATATAAACCCCGTTTGCCGAGTTTCCAACAGAGGACCTCACAACCTCTGAGGATGCCTGGCATAGATGTGGGTGAAATGTCAGGAGAGAATGCTTTTGGAACATGGCCCTAGAGCCCGGAAAACTCACAGCAACCCAATGCCATTTTTTAAAAAAATAGGAGGATGTCAGGAAGCTTTTGAGAATTCCAAAACTGGGGTTTGAGGATCACATGCAGTCCATGGGCTTGTCTATTTCCATCCCTACTTGATTCCCATATCAATAGATAGGATCAAGTATATTTTGACAATTCCTGTAGGAAAATCACAAGCTTTCTATCAGTCCCTAGATTCTTCATCTATGGAATGAAGAAAATCACAAGCTTTCTATCTGTCCATAGATTCTTCATCATAGAATTTTCATTTGGTATTTTCTCACTCAATTTAGTGAAAAATTAAAATGTTATTTTTACATCTTTGGGGGACAATTCTATCCCATTTGATATAACTAACTAAAAATCTGAAATTGCTCTCACGTAATTATTCAGTGTGATCCTTCTATGTACAATATTAAATGTAGATTTTGCAATCAACTCTACCACTTAACAAAACCACAATACAAAATGTTCTCTTTCTTGTTATCATAATCATTGTCATCAACAAAAACAACTTAAATCCAAGTTAATGGCATTGTTCTGGACTTTGGTCCTAGTTTAATTGGTTCTCGTTTGTTTACAACATAAAGATAGACATCAGTCTAGAAACATCTGTAATGGATAATTGAGCTGCATATGGCTGGATTTTCAAGACAATCTCTACACATACTTCAATATGCATGATTTAGTAGTGACCTATAGTGTGTGAATATGCAAGTTTTCAAATAGAGTGTAGCAGACATTGTCTCTTTAAATGGTTATGTCATTTGGAAGCTGACTAACCCACAGCAAACGGAAATCCTAAAAGACATCATTAATTCCTACTAGAAAGCCATCCAGAGTTTGGATGTGCATGCTTTTACATATAGTAGACATTGACATTCTAAACAGCTAGATTTTTTGGAAACCAAACAACTCATGTTGTAATGAAAATCCCATAAGAACCTGTATCACATGTTTACAAGTTATGGAGGGAAATGTGATTGCTAAAAAAGGTATTAAGTCATGATTATTGATACCTATTGATCTGTTTATCCATGGATTTGGCAAAAGCTAATATTATTGCATCTTCCTTCTCTAGCAATTGTGTACTGTCCCTAGACATGTCAATGTTACATCATGAGAATCACAGATCTAATACTACTTATTTTTAGGATCATAGAGTAAAACTATAATTTATTATAATTACTTCCTCCTTTAAATCTCATACATACCTCTGCCTTCTGTGCAACGTCATTCATGGCTATCTTCTGTGATCCAGCAACAGATGTGTGCAAAAAAGTATGTTTTCAGTTTTCACCTTTATAGGAAAAAATTAATAGCATCACCGGAGTAATATATAATAAAAAAACTTTTTAGGAATTATTAGGTATAGCATACATATTTTAGTGTCCACATGCTACCTACCAGGTATAGACTGAATTCTACCCTATTCAGATTTTATTTAATTTCAGTAGACATTGCTACCAAATTGTATATGGGATCGAGTTCCTGTAAATTAAATCCTGAAAAGATCATCAATTAAGACAAGTTACCATAAAGTTCCAACAAGTATGATGAAGGTACCTATTCTCCCCAGCTTTCAAAACCCAACTTTCAGCTACAGCTGTCCTTTCCCAACACAGCTATTGCCTCGTCAGTGGAGAGCAGGAGGAGACATGGAGGACCACACACTTCTGTTCTTGTCACTAACCTTAACTCGTCATGGGAACTGAACATTGAGGTTTGGACACTGAAAGAGGACAGATACCCTTTTCCCACTTAATAGAGCTTTAAGGTGCCTCATCCTGCTACAAAATCTATATAGGATTAAAATCAGAGAAAGGCCACATCCAACTAGGCAACTGTAATGCATATCACTAATAACTACTAAGACACAAACCAGACGATTCTTATGATATGCTTTCTTCTCTTCCTTATTAACTTCCATCCCTTGATCTGTAACATCTAACAAAAATGTAGAATATCCCATCCAGCCTCTGAACACACAAATGATAACTGGACTAAACCATAAAAATAAAATAATAGGCTTCAAAGTCTGAAATACTTCAGCTGTTCTTGTAATAACCATTTATTTCAAACGTTATCATGAACCAAAAAAAAGGTTTATGGCACCTTACAAGGTTACAAATGCAGTGCAATAGTTGTTTAGATGGCCCCAGCGTTGCCTTTTACAGAAACTACCATCCCCCCTTTTTTTGTAATTAAGCCCACTATAATAATATTTGATTTTTTTTCCATTGATCTTTCTTATTCAATCTCTCCGATTACATTGCACCAACTTAATCTGCTACACATCTCTGAAACTCTGTTAATATAACACAAACTGGGAATGTATGTATTACATAGGCAGAGTGCACAACTTGAAATCTGAGAACACTTTCAATATAAAACCTGGGATTTGTTTAAACAGATTAATAGAAATACATAAACTCCTAGGAGACCTGGTGTGCATAGTCTCAAGCAATGCCACATCACAATTCAGGTATCCATCCAGATGACTGCAGTACACACTTTAAAATCTAAAAAGGGATTGCTATCAGCACATATTTACAGATAAGACCATTCAGAGTATTGGGATTTGGTTTTTTGGAGTAAATAAGGAACACAATTGTGCAGAACAAAAGAAGAAAAAGAGGAGGAGAAAAAGGGAACAAGGGGAGAGAAAGAGGAGGAAATAGCGCTTTTTGCCTCCTTAGGGCAGAAAATATGAGCCAGAATGATTAGTCAAAGACTTTGATTCAGTGTGTTGTCGAAGACTTTCATGGCCAGAATCACTGGGTTGCTGTGAGTTTTCCAGGCTGTATGGCCATATTCCAAGAGAGAATGCTTCTGGAAAATGGTGATATAGCCTGGAAAACACACACCATTCACTTTGATTCAGGTTTGTTACCTGGTTCTGAACTCATTATATTTCAAAACTGTCAAGTATACTTAATAAAAAGCTTGATGAGGCCATTTTATAAAGTGGATAGAGAAAAGAGAAGGATACAGAACAGGGGAAGTGTGTAAAATGGGTTGCTGCTTCATCTGAGAAAGACATTGTGTCCCAAAATTACCTGACGAGCCCAGTACTCAAATCAGGTGTTATTGTTGAAACATTCACACATCAACTCAGTCTCTGAGGCCCTATTTTTTCCATTTCAATCGTTCACTTTTCTTTTGCCCTTATTTTCCCAGCCTATTGCAAACAAAATCTACATCCTGGTAAGACTCTTGCACTAGCTGCTGAGAAGGAAAGTGTTGGAGAAAACTTTTGTTACAAACAGACAGTCCAATGAAACAAATTTCTCACTTCCATGCAACTAAAATAATTTATTTAGCTACAATAAAATACTTTTGCCGTGATATATTTACTCATAAAACACGCCATGTATTTATTAATCCATGGTAGTGTATGTGTTATCTATCTATTACTTATTCATTTAGTCCAGATAAAATAGAAGAATTGTTGGCCAGGGGAACTGTTGTACCAGGAATAAATGAACAAGATAGATTCTGTAAGTATGATCTTAAGTTGAATTTGTTTGTAAGTGGGCTTGGTTTGCTGTCTGTGCCCCTGTTCATAAGATTTCACCTTCCTCTCTATCCCTATTATAACTGGAGTTTGGGGGAAAATGGCTTGTAGTAAAAACAAGGATTCCTGATAAAGCTTCAGTGGAGACACCTTTTCCCCATGATAACTTTTCCAGGAGTGAATTTCCCTTCTGAGGGGTAGAATTATCTTACTTCCTGTTGTCTCATTCCTATTCTTAACTATGAGTCATTTGTAAGTCAGATGTTTGTCCTATGCATAGTTTGTAAGCCAGACGTTTGTAATTCGGGGACTGGAGCCCCGGTGGTGCAATGGGTTAAACCCTTGTTCCAGTTGAACTGCTGACCAAAAAGTTAGTAATTTGAATCCAGACAGCGGAATGAGCTCCCATCTGTCAGCCCCAGCTTCCCATGTGGGAGCATGAGAGAAGCCTCCCACAGGATGGTAAAACATCCGGGCATCCCCTTGCAGATGGCCAATTCTCTCACACCAGAAGAGACTTGCAATTTCTCAATTCGCTCTTGACACACACACACACACACAAAACTTGGAGACTGCCTGTATAACCTGTTTGCAGTGAACTGCATTGCTTACAAAGCAGCAGGCTTACAATCTGATAATATTCCTTTATCCATCTCTTTTTGAGAATGGCCAGGTAAAAAGAATGACTTGCATCATCAGACACTCAACTATCAATTGTACTGTCTCTCCTTCTCTGTATCTTTCCTTTGCTTAAAGCAGAAACTCCAGTGGTTTGTATTGTTGTTGTGCCTTCAAGTTGTTTCCAACTCATGGTGACCTTAAGACAACCCTATCATGAGGTTTTCTGGAGCTGAGACTCGTCCCAAGGTCATTCTGTGGGTTTCCACAGCCAAGGAGAAAATTGAATCCTGGTCTCCAGAGTCCAGTGCTCAAACCACACTGCCTCTTGATTCCTCCTTAAGCATTGTCATTTAGCCTACTGTAATTTGTTCTACATTGAGCTATCCCTGAAGACTGTCAAGAAACTGAAACAGATTCCAAATGCAGTCATTCAATCAAATCATATCCCGGGTTTTTGTAGATTTTCTGGGCTATATGGCCATGTTCTAGAAGCATTCTATCCTGACCACACAACCTCTGAGGATGCCTGCCATAGATGCAGAAGAAACGTCAGGAGGGAATGCTTCTAGAACATGGTCATACAGCCCAAGAAACCTACAACAACCCAATGACTCCAGCCATGAAAGCCTTCAACAAATCATATCCCATTATTCTTGTACCAGTTTCAATGTCTGATGATCTGAGGCTGCTCCCACAACTGTGCATAAATGTCTATGACTACTGTAGTACTGCACTTCATTTGAAGAAATTGATATTTAGGAAAATTCTTGTAAAAATAGCTCAATTAATCTTAAAGGTGTTACTGGAATTTTTCTTTCCTCCATTTTTTTCCTTTCTGTCTGCCAATTTCTTTCCATTTTGAGCATAAAATACTAGTTCCAGCCTTGAATGATCTGTGAACCGAATGCAAAGACAGACAATAGTAACAAAATTCATAACTACAAATAGCCTGATATGAAATTATAGTTACCTAACATATTTCAATGAAAAGTTTTTTTTAAAAAAATCTCATTTCTTGGCTAAATCACAAGAGGAAATCCATATTTTATCCAGAAAGTTGATAAATGACTGCCACAATACTAATTAAATCTGTTTGGTTTTAAATGGATATGGAAAATGTACAGAACAGAGTATTGAAATATATGAAGCCTCCACCGGCTACAGATGCAACTATTAAAGGGTGATTTTACTTTGAGGGCTCTTCCAGACAGGTCCTGTATTTCAGGATCCGATCCCAGATTTTCTGTTTATCCCAGATTATCTGGAGATGCAGACTCATATAATATAATCCAGTTTAAAGCAGAAAACTTAGGATCAGATCCTGGGATGTAGGGCCTATCTGGAAGAGTCCTTTGAGATTCAATGCTAAAACAGCATGCTGATATCACTCACATCTGTGCCTGCTATACAGGTTGCATCTATACTGTAAAATTAATACAGTTCAACACCACTTTAACTGCATGGCTGAATGCTATGGAATCATGGGAGATGTAGTTTTACAGTTCTTTATCCTTGTCGGCCAAAGAGTACTGATGCCTCATCAACCTACTTGGCTCTTAATGAGACATGCTGCATTATCATGGGGTGTTTGCACTCTGCACCACTGGAGAAATTACACTGTTTAGCATCATCTGACATCTTCGGCCCATCCCCTGTTCAGATATCAGCCAGCACACCAACGACTTAAATCAAGAAATAGCTTTCTAAGATCTACAAAGACACTCGCTGGATCACCTCTGCAAGCAAGAATCCAAAAATAGCAGTCTGAAACCCAGAACCTCAAACCATGACTGATACCAAATGAGAGACTCCCTCCTGGGCACACAGAAAACTGGGTGACTTGGAAGGGGCTGAACAGACTGTGGTCTGGCACCATGAGATGCAGAGCCAACCTTAAGAAATGGGGACACAAAGTGATTTAGCCACAACATACGAGTGTGGAGAAGAGCAAACCACAGACCACCTATTACAATGCAACCTGAGCCCTGCCACATGCACCATGGAATACCTTCTTATAACAACACTAAAGGCATTCCAAGTGGCCAGCTACTGGTCAAAGGACATTTAATAGAATGCCAAGTTTGCAAACTTTGTGGGGGTTTTTTGTTTTTCTTTAAAAATACAACTGTTTGGTTTGCTCCTGATACGATAAATAAATAAAT